TGGCCCTGGCCCTGCCCCTGCCCCTGCCCCTGCCCCTGCCCCTGCCCCTGCCCTGCTGCTCCCACTGCATGGGTATGAAGTGTGCCCTGTGCCCATGTCTGCAGATGGCGGTGCAGCAGGGCCTGGCGCCCCGAGCCCGGGAGCTGCGGGCCAACAGCAGTGCCCTGGAGCAGGCTGTTCTCAGGGAGCAGCAGAGGCTGGGCCGCGGTGAGTGCTGGGCTCTGCAGGGACCCTCAGCTTCTGGGCACATGTGTGGGTTTGTGCATTGTTCCGGTGGCAGCTGCCCCTTATGGGGACCCTGCTCCCCACTGGCTTGGTGTGTCCACCCTGGGGCTGTGGAGGGCAGAGGGCACGGGACCAGCTGATGGTTCCTCCTGCTGCCCTGGCTGGAGGCTGTGTGCATGGCAGACTTTTGGATGAGAAAGGGCAGGCGGGGAGTAGGAAGGGTCCCCCTTTAGCTAGAATTGTGGGTAATGGCTTGGCTTTTCTGAGCCTCCATGTTTTCGTCTATAAAATGGGGAGGATTACATATTTGCTGTGGGACTGGGAGGCAGCCCTGAGACTCAGGGTGCTCTCACCCCTCCCCTTGAGCCAGAGCCCTGCTGACTGGATGTCTTCATCTATCAGTGGTCAGGCCCGCCTTAGACCTCTGTGGTCAGGGGAGCCAAAGTGGGCTGCACACATGCACTGGGGGTGGGGGCTCCTTGGTGCTATGGCTGCCTTCTCTGCAGTGAGGGCCACCCTCCAGGGCACGGGGACCCAGCTCCGTGATACCCGGGCCAAGAAGGAGCAGCTGGCAGCCCGGGTGCAGGAGGTGCAGGCCATGCTGGCTATGGACACAGGTAGGTTGCGCCTCCTTCCTGCCCTTGCCCTCACTGCTTGTCCCCAGAGGTGAGCAGACACCTGCCCGGCCACTCCAGCCAGCCCTGCCCCAGAGGGCTCTGTGGTGGGGGCACATCCCCCCCTGTGCCATGCAAAATGGTGACCAGGACAGCTGAAGAGAACCCCGAAGGAGGCAACCTGGACCTGGAGACCCGCCTCTGGTCGGGAGACAAACACCAAACAAAATAGACCCAAGTAACAAGTGAAAACTGGGAAGGGACAGGAAGTGCTTTGGAGAGAAATTACGGGGGAGAGAGGTCAGGATGCTGGGACACCGGGGAAGGTACAGTCTGTAGGCAGGCACGGAGGTGGATGGGGGTGCAAGGGGACTGGTGTAGCAGGAGAGCCAGGTGGAGGCTCGGGGTGGCAGAGCCCAGGCGGCTCGCGGCAGAGGAGCCATAGCTGACTGGCTTTGGAGGAATCCCTGTGGCCGCCCAGGGCAGAGCATCATCGTGAGCGTGGCCATGGGGCGCAGGGGCTCTGGCAGGGCCACAGGGGAGATGAGCATGGCCTGGGGGTGGCAGTGGTGGCTATGGGGAGACAGGGCTGAGCGGAGGCATCAGGGTGACCCTGCTCTGGCCCAAGAGGCTGGCACGGAGAAGCCATCTGGTGGGGGAGGGAGGGTGGGTTTCCACGTCCTCGGTGCCCCCGGTGCTATTCCTAGTGGAGGAGACTTGGTGATGTCCCCGAGCGGAGGGGAGGGGAGGCCAGGAGGGTCTTCTCTTGACCCTGCTGAAGCCTGCCCACTGCCGGCCACAGACGAGACCAGCAAGAAGATTGCTCACGCCAAGGCTGTGGCCACCAGAGCCCAGGACACGGCCGCCCGAGTGCAGTCCCGGCTCCGAGACATGCAGAGAAACCTGGAGCAGTGGCAAGGCCAGTACGGGGGTCTGCAGAGCCAGGACCTGGGGCAGGTGGTGCTGGACGCCGGCCGCTCAGGTGGGCCCCCCGGGCACGCAGCACCCGTGAGAGCAAGTGGGCCAGGGGAAGCGGGGCTCTCGGGCCACATCCCCTTCCCCCCTCCCCCCTGCAGTGTCCACCCTGGAGAAGACGCTGCCACAGTTGCTGGCCAAGCTGAACCTGCTGGAGAACCGTGGGGGGCACAATGCCAGCCTGGCCCTGTCCGCCAGCATCGGCCGTGTGCGGGAGCTCATTGCCCAGGCCCGGGGAGCTGCCAGCAAGGTGGGCACGAGCGCCAGAAGGGGGGCGTCTGGGGGGCTGGGTGTTGGATGCTGATGGGCCATGCACCCTGCACACAGGTCAAGGTGTCCATGAAGTTCAACGGGCGCTCGGGGGTGCAGCTGCGTGCCCCTCGGGACCTCGCTGACCTTGCTGCCTACACTGCCCTCAAGTTCTACCTCCAGAGCCCAGAGCCAACGTCCGACCAGGTCTCTGAGGATCAGTTTGTGCTCTATATGGGCAGCCGCCAGGTACTGGGCCAGCTTGGCAGGCTGGGTAGAGATGGGCACCAGGTTGGAGTGGGTGGGCCACACTGGGTTCCGGTCCCACTGAGTCTCCCACCACCACAGGCCACTGGTGACTACATGGGTGTGGCTCTGCGGAACCAGAAGGTGCACTGGGTATACCGCCTGGGGGACGCAGGCCCCGCGACCCTCAGCATTGACGAGAACATTGGGGAGGAATTTGCAGCCATCAGCCTTGAGAGGTGGGAGGCCTGCCCCGTCCTCCCCCGCCCCCCGGCAGGCTGCATGTCCGCCCCAACCCCTTCGCTCTGCCCTCAGGACCCTGCAGTTTGGCCACATGTCTGTCACTGTGGAGAAACAGATGAGCCACGAGACCAAGGGCGACACCGTGGCCCCTGGGGCCGAGGGGCTGCTCAGCCTGCAGCCTGACGACTTTGTCTTCTATGTGGGGGGCTACCCCAGCAACTTCACGGTGAGCCACTCGGCCACCCCTCTGCACTCTTGTCCCAGCGAGTCCTGCTGGGCTTCTGGCTTCAGTGGGTCTGTTCAGCCAGAGCCCCTCCTGGGGCCTGCCTCGTGGGGGGAGGCGCCCTGACTAGGTGCTGTGCCCGCAGCCCCCAGAGCCCCTCCGCTTCCCCCGCTACCGGGGCTGCATTGAGATGGGCACCCTCAACGAGGCGGTGGTCAGTCTCTACGACTTCGAGAAGACCTTCCAGCTCAACACAGCTGTGGATAAGCCTTGTGCACGGTATGTACGGCCTGGGCCCGCCCTTCACCCTCCTCGGCCCACTCCCCACTGACTGACCTCTGACCTGCAGCACCAAGTCCACTGGAGACCCATGGCTCACAGACGGCTCCTACCTGGAGGGCTCTGGCTTTGCCCGCATCAAAGTGGAGAGTCAGATCAGCCACACCAAGCGCTTCGAGCAGGAGCTGCGGCTGGTGTCCTACAGTGGGATCATCTTCTTCCTGCAGCACCAGGCGAGCCCGCCGCCCCGCCACCCCTACTCACC